CCTGAGTGGGTAGAACTGATTCTTGTTGGGCATGGATTTTGAATCCATGCCAACTCTTTTGAACTCGACGGACCACGTCGTGTTCTTGAGATGAAACACGAGGGCCACATTTTGGTTTATAAACATTAGGCCGAAGCCTATGTTTAGCTAGTGAAACAGACCCCTGTGGGTCGTGTTTTGATTGAACGCACACTTGTAGTGTGCATTTAGATAATGAAACAGACCCCTGAGGGTCATTTTTTTTATTGAACGCACACTTGTGGTGTGCGTTTGTTTGATGAAACATACCCCTGAGGGTCGTCCTTTGATTGAACGCACATTTGTGGTGTGCGTTTGTTTGATGAAACAGACCCCTGAGGGTCGTTCTTTTATTGAACGCACATTTGTGGTGAGCATTTGATGAAACAGACCCCTGAGGGTCGTTCTTTGATTGAACGCACACTTGTGGTGTGTGTTTGGTTGATGGAACGTGCCTTTGGGGGTCACGTTTTGCTTTTGAGACGCACTCCTGAGGTGTGCGTCTGGATTTGGATAACACAGCCCTGAGAGCCGTGTTTAAGTTGGATTACACGAGGCTCATAATCGGGCTCATTATCACAAAGTGTGTGTTCTGGAACAGAAACGCAGAGTTCGAGCAGAGGCCTAGAAACGCAGTCTTCGCGTTGGGTGAGAGATTGGCTATTCCGCAAGTGCGCTCGCCGTATGGATCTTCTCCTTCGTCGAGCGACGTTTTTCTTGGCTTGCTTCAATGCCTTGGCCGCAACGTCGTCGGCGTTGATTGGATTTTCCTCCGTCATAGGCCTCTTATGACCTATTACACGCCGGGTCGATGCGGGTGTGGAGTCGTTAACTCGTTGAACGAGTTTGGAATCTTGGCCAAATGAGAGGGATTTCTTTGGCATCTCAGTAGTAGTTAAGACCTCCTTGGAGATCTTACGGGTGTTGTGCCTAGCCTTGGGGCTAAGCGATCCAGAGAAGAGGGCCTCCTTGTATTTGGCTTGGTCCAACTCTACGACGAGCGTTTCGATGGTGGTTCCCGTGAGGTGAATGTCAGATTACACCATCACTTCTTCATCCGAGAAGCTAGTCCCCAGCGGAGTCACCATCTTTTGTTTGTGAAAAAATTTACAGTAAAAGAAATGAAGGAAAATTAATTTGTATTCCTTTAATCTCAGTTACAATTGGATTTTCTGATTACAAAAGAGAGGAGAATGAATTTGATTCTCCCCTTTGTTTAAAACTGGCTTCTTCTTGGTAGCGATGATTACAAAAGAGAGGAGAATGAATTTGATTCTCCCCTTTGTTTAAAACTGGCTTCTTCTTGGTAGCGATGGAGTGCCTCCTTCGATTGCTTGCGTCGAATTTGCTCTCCGTTGACGATCCAAACATCTTGTCTCACCGGAACGATTAACTTGTATGACAAGTTTGATTTAGAACTCTTAGCGAGTTTAAGAACTTAGAATGAGTTGAAAACCCTAAAAAGAGTTGTTGAGAACCGAATAACCGATTGGTGTAATTAACTCACGTTGCAAGTTTAATTAAGAACTCTTAATGAGTTTAAGAACTCAGAGCGAGTTAAAACTCTGTAACAGAGTTGTTAGAACCAAAAATTCGGTTAATAGCCAAGTAGATTTTCTGTTGTTGAAGGATTCTTCGAGATTTGATCTTCTAAATCTAGTTGAAATCTCCAATCTCCAAAGATCTCAGCCTCAACGCCCCAAAGATCTGATATGAACTGCCTTTTTGCAGTTTTGATACCTAAAGATCCAACCTTGTGCGGTCTTCTTGATCTCCAAATCTCCAACCCCTTACTCAGTTGAGTAATGCGGTTATTTATAGGGAGATAAGGGGTGTAACTAACCCCTAAATCCGCTCCTCAGTGGGCAAAAATCCCTCAAAACGTGGGATAAACGGTTTTGAGGCCGTTCAGCTTGAGTTTGAACAAGTCAAATGCTTAAATTGGTGTTCTGGAGCTTAACTCTACGTCTTAGACTTTGAGATGCAGAGTTGGGTATCTGCGGATGATTGAAACGCACAGGCCGCTTGCGTTCTGGGTTTTAACTCTGCGCCGCAGAGTTGATTGTCTGCTAAAAAAACGCACAAGCCGTTAGCACGCTTAACTCTGCGTCTTGGATTTGAAACGCAGAGTTGGGTGTTTGCTGAAGAACGCACAGGCTGTGTACGTTTTGAGTTGAGAAGCGCAGAGATGGACTCGGTGTTTGGAAGAGGTTGTTGACTTGTAACCTCCTCTATTAGAGCGTTGTGAAGACTATCACTCGTTCATCTTTGCTTTAGCTGTTATAGGGTGTGAAAGTTGTCAGATTGTAACTCTCACAGTTAATCATAAAGGCTACTGAGTAGAGTTTTCATCTGTCGTCAGAAGGGTCGTCAAATTGTAACTCCTCTTGATCTATGTGAAAAGTCCTTCACTTGCAGCTTCCATGAAAGTCATCTGATTGTAACCTTCGTTGTTGAAGCTTAATGGGGATCAACTATCTATTGTGATTTTTAGACAGCCTACATGATGCTATTTGTGACGGCATTGATGAAGGATACAAAGGTATTGTTGATAATGTTAAATACCGAGAAACTGCTATCTCATTTGATGAACTGCATGAAAACCTCCTCTATCGAGAACTTGAGATTCAAGCCACCCAATCGGGTCTTCGTTCTCACAACGTCAGCCACAGTCGTGGTAGTCGTTCCTTGCAGCGCGGCAGTCGTGGAGATCGTTCTTCTCCTAGGCCATACATAGGCTATTGTCAGGCGTGCAACACACAGGGTCACACGGTGAAATATTATCCTACATTCTGGCTTCTAGCTACTCAACCCACGGAACTGCAATCTGCCACCTCCACCCACGACCCTCCTTAGCAGTCATGGCCGAACACGGTGTGGTCTAGCCCCTCAGTCTACCAGCCGAGGGCCAACTTCTCAGCCACCAATCTTGATCCGCAACAGTGGATTATGGATAGCGAGGCGAGTCACCACATAACCTCAGACCTTCAGAACCTCTCACTGCATGCACCCTACAATGGCTCGGATGAAGTCATCGTTGGCAACGGGAATGGGTTGCCTATCACTCATGTCGATTCTGGTAAACTCTCTACCCCGTCTCATACCTTTTCTCTTCACAACATTCTATGTGTCCCATCAGTTCGTCAAAACCTAGTTTCTCTCTCAATTTTGTCAATCTAATAAAGCCACTGTTGAATTCTCACCCACCTATTTCTATGTTAAGGATCAACGTACGGGGGCAATTCTCTTCCAGGGGCAGTCTAAAAATGACATTTATCACTGGTCGTCTCCTGTCTCTACATCGTCCGCCACCTCCCCTCTCTTTGCATTCTCGGGTGTCAAAGCCTCTCTGTCTAACTAGCATGGGTGGCCCGGGTATCCTTCCAGTCAAATTCTCAATAAAGTTTTAACTCAGTTTGGTTTAGACACTACTGGTGCTGTGTCACCTTTATCAAATTACAATGCCTGTTAGTGTAATAAAATGCACAAACTACCTTTCTTTGTTTCTATTGTTGTCTCCTCTCATCCCTTACATGTTATTTACTCTGATGTTTGGACATCTCTTGTCTTATCTATGGATGATTTTAAATATTCTGTTGTTTTTATTGACCACTTCACATGCTACTCCTGCCTATATCCGCTAAAACAGAAAGCCCATGTCCATCAGACATTTCTTTCATTCCAGGCGTTGGTGGAAAAAAAAATTTCCATGACCATTCGGACCCTCTACTCCGACAACGGGGGTGAATACAAAGCACTTACCCCATACTTCACCTCTGTTGGTATATCTCACCTCACCTCCTCGTGACATACCCATGAACATAACAACATCTTCGAATGAAAACACCGTCATATTGTAGAGACTGGCCTTACACTCTTGCACCATGCCTTAATGCCCCTCTCGTACTGGTCCTATGTCCTACCTGCTGCCACCTATGTTATAAACCGCCTTCCCACGCCCACCCTCTCCATGAAATCATCGTTTCAGTGTCTCTTCTCCATCACCCCAAATTATGCCAAACTTCGGATCTTTGGTTGTCTATGCTACCCATGGACTCGTCCCTACGCCTCTCACAAACTAAATACCCCCTCCACTCCTTGTGTTTTTATTTGGTACTCCATTACTCAAAGTGCTTATCTGTGTCTTGATCTCTCCACAGACTGTGTCTATTTCTCCCGTTACGTCAACTTTGTTGAGTCCCTATTTCCGTTCACCTCTCGGTCATTACCCTACCCCACGGGTGCTACCCCACCTACTGACCCATCGTCCTCTTGGGATATCCCTCACCACTTTATTCCCCAACCACCTCCTGTACACTCACCACCTGTCACCCTCCTCACCATAAAGCCCAAACCCCACTGCCTCAACCCCCGTGTCCCCACTGCTCAGTCCAATGGCCCATACTACGCCGAGTTCAACCCGTCTGTCGGAGACTACATCCACTGGTCCAACACCTCAGCCCGAGCCCTCCCTACCCCCTAATCCCCCATCACCCGAGGCCCCACCTCCCCCTCGTACCATCACCACCCGGTCAATGAATAATATCTCTAAGCCTATTCAAAAACTTACCTTCACTGCCCAACTTCCTCCTCTTTCTGACACCGAACCGACAACTGTGTTACATGCTCTTTCTCATTCCTCTTGGAGACAAGCCATGTCTGACGAATTTATGGCTCTTGTTTGCAATGGAACATGGACACTGGTTCCCCTGTTTCCTTCTCAAAATGTTGTAGGGTGAAAATGGGTCTTTCGTATCAAACAGAAACCCGATGGTTCTGTGGATAGGTACAAAGCCCGGTTAGTGGCTAAGGATTTTCATCAACGACAAGGGGTGGACTATAGCGAGACATTCAGTCCGGTTATTAAATCAACCACTATCCGCCTGGTGCTCTCCCTTGCGGTCAGCCAATCATGGCCTCTCTGATAGCTTGACGTCAATAATGCCTTATTACAAGGCACTCTCCATGATCAGGTTTTCATGATGCAACCACCAGGGTTTATTGACAAGGATCACCTTGACTATGTTTGCTCTCTTCGAAAATCTCTCTATGGCCTCAAGCAGGCTCCAAGAGCTTGGTACCAAGAGCTGCGTGACTATTTGCTCTCTCTTGGATTTTATAACTCTCTAACATATGTGTCTCTTTTTATCTTCTCTGATGCAGGTACCACTCTCTATATTCTAGTCTATGTGGATGACATTGTCGTCACTGGTAATAATCTGGCCCGGGTTGACTCCATTATTGCCTTACTTGGTCATCGTTTCTCCATCAAAGATCTTGGTCCACTTTATTTTTTTGGGTGTAGAAGTTGTCCCGCATTCTCTTGGTGTTGTTTGTCTCAGCGCCGCTATATTATGGATCTTCTCACATGGACCAAGATGGCCGCATCGCATCCTGTCCGTACCCCCCTAGCGACGGCGACCTCGCTCCGACATGACGGCGATGTACCACTCTCGAATGGTCGTGACTACCACGACATTATTGGCGGCCTCCAGTATCTTGCTCTCACTCGTCCTGACATCTCCTATGCTGTCAACAAACTGTCCCAGGTCATGCAAGCTCCAACCACTGATCACTTGAATGCTGCAAAACGGGTCCTTCGCTATATCATGGGGACTATTGATCATGGTCTTCTTCTTCACCGTCAGAGTTATCTCTCTCTTCATGCTTACTTTGACGCTGATTGGTCCGGTGATAAGGATGATTTCTCATCCACCAGTCACGTACATCATTTTCTTGGGCCACAACGCTATCTCCTGGAGCTCCAAAAAGCAACGCAGTGTTGCCCGCTCATCCACCGAAGCCGAATACAGATCAGTGGCGTCCACGGTCGCGGAAACTAGATGGATCCTCTCGCTTCTTACAGAACTAGGCATCACAATCCCCTTCAACCTAGGATTTATTGTGACAATGTTGGTGTCACTCAACTCTGTGCCAACCCAGTATTCCACTCTCGAATGAAACATGTCGCTATTGACTATTATTTTATCAGGCAACATGTTCAACGTGGTATCCTCCGCGTCTTTCATGTCCGCTCCGAAGATCAACTCGTCGATATGCTTACATAACCCCTTCCATCCACGCAATTTACAAACCTATGCACCAAGATTAGACTATATCTTCCGGACACTCCATCTTGCGGGGGCATGACAGAATTTAATTTTCTACCATCATTGTTTATTCTATTACCATCTATAGTTGTTACCTTGTATAACGGTATCCTACCTACTATTCTTGTAATTACAACCTAATAGAATAAACAACAAATAGTTGTATTTTTTTTAGCCTGAATAAAGAAGAAATTACGGTGGAAAATGATAGATTGTTGTTTTTTTTTTTAAGTTATTGGTAGAGTTGGATGCTTTTGTTCCGTTCTAAGTTGGCAGAAATTTGTACTCTCTCTCTAATGAAGTTATTGGTAGAGTTGGATGCTTTTGTTCCGTTCTAAGTTGGCAGAAATTTGTACTCTCTCTCTAATGGCTGATCACCAGTGAATTTGAGGGATAGTTCCGTTCTAAGTTGGCAGAAATTTGTACTCTCTCTCTAATGGCTGATCACCAGTGAATTTGAGGGATATGTTACGCTATTTACTTTGGTTCACAGATAAAGTCTTTCAAAGAAGAAGAACGCCTTTTCTATGCACACTATCACGTGGGGTCAAAATCTTTCATGGAGGTTGCAAAGAAGACACGTAATTATAGATGATTTAAGCCATAACTTAGAAAATCCAATTTGTATATAACACAAAGGGAGAAATGACAAATAATACGAAGAATGTTGATAAAAAAAGTACGTGGCGAAGTGTCTCACCGACTCATGTCCGCATGGTCGTTGTCCTCGTCAAATAACACGTTTTTCTTCAAAATATATATCTGTGTAACGGACAATCCATGTTGATGCAAAGAAGTACCGCAGGCAAAGATGTTGTGCGCAGCGGAAATTTCGGCAGAGTTTCTGGTGCACAATAAGAGAGAAAGATTAATAAGAATTATCGTCTCACCAAGAAAACAAGAATCTGAAGCGAATATCTCAACAAAGTGAGATATCGGCTCTTCCTCTCATCAGTTCTAGGACTGACTTGTTGAGGGATCCTAAAAACTATTACAATGGCCACAAGCACAAACAAACCAATTTTACGTGGTTCGGTAAATTGCCTATGTCCACGGGGTAAGGAGGGGGGAGATCTACTATTAGAGGTAGAGAATACAACTAGGGTTTACAATCACTCAATCTAAACCCTCACACAAACTCTCAAATCTCTCATACAAATATCTCTCTCAAAAGCTCACCTCAGTCTGTGATTTCTTTTCACTACATGAATCCCAAAAAAGGGTTCTACCGAAAACAACTCAGGCCGAAAAACAACTGCCTTCGCACCTGCACACAGCCGCAAAACCTATTACAATTCCTCGCCAACTTAGATTATTCTAGAACAACTTTCTAGAACTTCTTTCTAGTAACATCCTACAAAATATCTATCATGAAGTTTCTGTTAGACCCTAGAGGGGGAGGGTGATTAGGGTCTTATGCTAATCTAATCCGATTTTATACCAATTAAAATTAATTAACAAGTTATCCTAGCAAGTATGAAATATCACAAGATATATAAGCTAGGATAAGCAATATGAACAACAAGATATATCCTAACAAAGAGATATAGGCAATGTATGTGCAAGGATATAAAACTAACACAAGGTGATATATCCTACCAAAGAGATATACAATATAATATATGCAAGGATATGTAAAACTAACACAAAGGGGTAAACAATATGAGCTAGATAGTGGATCATATAAATAATGAGACAATGGCGATATGAGCAATGATCACAAATATAAATAAACGCCAAAGCACAAACACAATAAAATGATCACGGAGTTCGGACCTTCCGTCCTACGTCTCCGCTCCCCACTCCCGGAGAGAAATCCACTATGTTCGGACCTTCCGTCCTACGTCTCCGCTCCCCACTCCCGGAGAGAAATCCACTATCACAACCGGGTTTCTACGCTCACCCGAATAACGTTTACACCTCACAGTGTCGGTTTTCAACACTCACCGATCAACGTCACTCCTCACAATCGGTTTTCTAGTTCACCGAAAACTTCACAACACACTCGGTTTTCTAGCTCACCGAAAACCTTACATCACTCACAATGTAACAAATATAAATTTGTTCTCTACAATAGATGAGAACTCAATTAAGCACAACTCAATGTTACAATCTCTCACAACCCTAATATACTATGTATGCAAATACAATAAGCTCAAAGTGGGTGTGTGTAACAATGAGTAAATAAAATCAAATCAACTAAACTCAAATATAAAATCTAGCTTAAGAACAATGATAATCAAACAAGTATATAAATGTAAAGGTAGAGTTTGGGTTTAGAAAACTTCTCAATTGATAACAAGAGATGGAGATGGAGATTGAAGCCCAAACAAGAAGATAATCTCCTCCACTTGTGAAAACCAAAACAGCTTTAAACCAAACCCTTAAACAAGCTTAAACTCTTTTTAAAACTCTTTAAAACATTCTCTTGGATTCCTCTTAGAACTAAGATCAAGGGGGTATTTATAGCCTCCCAAAACCTCAGCCAAAAACCCCAAACAAAAGACAAGAAAAACCCCAGCCGGGTAAAAAATATAGCCGTTGGAAAGAATCTGATTGAGCGGCGGTCCACCGAAAAAATTCATGGTCGACCGCGATCCAGATCCCAATCTGAGAAAACGAGCAGAGACTTATTCGGTCGACCGGTGCGGTCGACCGATGAAAATTTCGAGCTCTCGGTCGACCGTGGTAGTCGACTGACAAACTCTCTGCTGCCCACTGACGAATGAACTCAGGTGCGGTCGACCGGTGACGTCGATCGAGGACTGATACATTCCAAAACTAATTTTAAAACAGATTTTGAGACTTTTAAAGATATGTTAAAAATAACAAATGAAGTCCAGAAAATATGAAACTTTGGGAAATGTATATAAATATGTAAATGAACATGTTACAAAAAGAATTTTCCAAATTGCATTTCCCATTTATAAAAAATCATCATTTTGCAAAAATAGTCCAAAACACGAAAATGTAAACATGTGAATTTTGACATTTAGACTAAACCATGTTTTGAAACTTTGCACAATGATTATGTAGACTTAATAAAATATGTATATGATAATTGTGAAGTCCAAAAACTAAGAAAACAATATTTTCACAAAATTGTATATTCTATGCAATATATACTAAAACACAATAATAAATATGAAACATGTGATTTCATATTTATAAACATGAAAACTCAAAAACACATGTATGTATATATATAACTATATATATGCATAGAAACGAAAACTTATGTATATATATATATATATATATATATATATATAAAAGTTTTGGTTTCTATGCATATATATAGTTATATATATACATACATGTGTTTTTGAGTTTTCATGTTTATAAATATGAAATCACATGTTTCATATTTATTATTGTGTTTTAGTATATATTGCATAGAATATACAATTTTGTGAAAATATTATTTTTCTTAGTTTATGGACTATTCCGCCAACCTCCATATGATATGATCGTGAATGCTCGATTTCGTCCATCCTCCAACTCGTTGTTTGTCTATAATAAATAGAAATATACCAACACTAGACAAATAATATTAGTTATAAATTGTTTGTTAAACATCATCAAAACAAGAAGGCCAACAATCTCCCCCTTTTTGATGATGACAAACAATTTATAAAAAGGATATATGCATGAAAGGAAATGAATATACAAAGTATAATATATCATGCATATAAATAAGAAAGAATATACTATAATATTTCTCCCCCTTTGATAACATCAAAAAGGGGACAAAAGAATTAAGAGAGCGAAAGATCCCCCTATCAATAAGCATAGGTGAGTACAAAAACAAACATAGAATAGGGAATAGCTCCCCCTATCAAAATGCCATATAAAATATATGCAATAAAGATTAAGGCAAAACATGTGAGCAAGCATATATGAATATGCTAAATATCACTCACATACAAAAAGATAACGAGAACACATATAAATATGTCAATATGAAAATAGTGTCTTATTAACAAAAACATAAAGATCAAAAATAGATTTATGAAATCAAAAGAAAAGGAACATGAAAATCATGTAAAAGGTTTTCAAATGAAGACAAATCAACCAATAAAATCATAAATCACAAGTAAATCATATAAGAACATAAAACCAAATCATCATTGATTTTAAAAAAATCAAGAGAGGTAATTATATCTAGCTCTTGAGCTAGTATCAACCCATATAAACATTTTAGCATCCGGTAAACAATATTTGGGAATAAACACCTAATAAATCCGGAGGGGTATATAAACACAAACCTCTCATCAAAACAAGATCAATAATCATGAAAACAAAAAAGATTTGATCAAAGAAAATTTTTTTTCATAACAAAAAGATTTTAAGACATAATTTTCAAAACCAAGAAAAGAAAAAAGAAAAACACTAAAGTACTTGGTTTTAAAAATCAAATTTGTTTTGGTACCCAAGAATTCTTGGTACCAAGAGATTTAGGGACATGACCCCTATCTTTTAAGCTCAAAGCTCTTGGGTTATGAACCCTCTTAGGCATATGTGGTGCACTAACACGGTCAAAGCAATAATCGCTCAAATGACCCTTCCGATTGCAATATGTGCAATGAAAGAGATTCATTTGTTTTTGTGGACCATTAGCTCATGCACAGGAAACATTTGCAACCATAGATGATCTTTTAAGATTATTTTGCAAATGTGAAACATTATCAAAATAAAATTTTCCTAAGTGGCCATATCTACTACAAACATCACATTTAAACTTTTGTGGTCTTTTAAAATCATTTGGCAAAAGTGAAGTTTTTCTCAAATCATAGCAAAATTTTGCCAAATGGCCAAAACATCCACAAAGATCATATCTAAACACATTAGCATGTTTATGATGTGCATGATAAGCATATGCATGTGTATGTGATGAAGAAGCTACATGAGATGTACAAGGAGCATTGACATTTTTATGTTTGTGTGCATCATAGCAAAATTTAGCTAGATGACCTTTACGGCCGTAAATAGAGCACTTGTAAACTTTGCTATATATGTGTGCTTGATGAGTGGATGATTTCTTAGACTTGGCACACATATCCATAAGCCTCTTATGATTATCAAAGCATATTTTCAAAGTTGAATCTAAAGATGAAATACATTTTTTCATAAGATTCAAGTCTTCATTTTTAGGCACATATGCACTTTTAGAAGTAGAACATAAATTCTACTTCTAGCATGGCATTATCTTTCTCATGAGTTAACTTACCAAAGTTTGAAATTAAAGAATCATGATCCAATTTTAATTTTTCATTGTTTTCTTTAAGGATCATATTTTCATTAGAAATAATATCAAACTTAGAAGTTAAAGACTCATGATCGGATTTCAAATTTTCATGCTTGCTTTGTAAATCAACAAAATCTTTATGCAATTTGTTAAAAGCATGCAATAATTTTTTACTAGCACAAGCAAGTTCATCACTAGATAAATCATTATCGGGTTCGAACTCGCAAACCTCACTAGGGCTATCGCCTAGTGGCCATGTGCATGATGCTCCATATGAACTTGAAGGCGGATCCTCCAAAGCTTGCCGGATAGCCTCCAAGTCCCCTTGATGCGCTTCTATGAATTTCCACAATGTATAAGCGCTATCAAAAGAATCAAGCTTGTTAGACAAAAATGAATCAAATGCATTTAATAAAAATTCGAACATAAGCTTGTTCATAATAAACATCTTTTTATCATGTTTGCTCCACTTGGATTTCTCCAACGTGGGCACAATATAAGCACAATCAATGATTTCCCATAGATCGATATTTTTAGATTGAACAAATATTTTGAATCTAAAGCACCATTGAGCATAGGGGAAAACATTGAATTTAGGAGCAATACTAGAATCATAGCCTATAAAAATATGCAAGCAAGATACAAATGCAATTAAAACAAGATTAGCACAAAAAGATAACTTGGATCTTTAACTCAAGGCGATTAGACCTTAAATCAAAGAGCACCAAGCTCTGATACCAATTGTTAGACCCTAGAGGGAGGGTGATTAGGGTCTTATGCTAATCTAATCCGATTTTATACTAATTAAAATTAATTAACAAGTTATCATAGCAAGTATGAAATATCACAAGATATATAAGCAAGGATAAGCAATATGAACAACAAGATATATCCTAGCAAAGAGATATAGGCAATGTATGTGCAAGGATATAAAACTAACACAAGGTGATATATCCAACCAAAGAGATATACGATATGATATATGCAAGGATATGTAAAACTAACACAAAGGGGTAAACAATATGAGCTAGATAGTGGATCATATAAATAATGAGACAATAGCGATATGTGCAATGATCACAAATATAAATAAACGCCAAAGCACAAACACAATCAAATGATCACGGAGTTCGGACCTTCCGTCCTACGTCTCCGCTCCCCACTCCCGGGGAGAAATCCACTATCACAACCAGGTTTTCTAAGCTCACCCGAATAACGTTTATACCTCACAGTGTCGGTTTTCAACGCTCACCGATCAACGTCACTCCTCATAATCGGTTTTCTAGTTCACCGAAAACTTCATAACACACTCGGTTTTCTAGCTCACCGAAAACCTTACACCACTCACAATGTAACAAATATAAATTTGTTCTCTACAATAGATGAAAACTCAATTAAGCAAAACTCAATGTTACAATCTCTCACAACCCTAATATACTATGTATGCAAATACAATAAGCTCAAAGTGAATGTGTGTAACAATGAGTAAATAAAATCAAATCAACTAAACTCAAATATAAAATCTAGCTTAAGAACAATGATAATCAAACAAGTGTATAAATGTAAAGCTAGAGTTTGGGTTTAGAAAACTTCTCAATTGATAACAAGAGATGGAGATGGAGATTGAAGCCCAAACAAGAAGATAATCTCCTCCACTTGTGAAAACCAAAACAGCTTTAAACCAAACCCTTAAATAAGCTTAAAACAAGCTTAAACTCTTTTTAAAACTCTTTAAAACATTCTCTTGGATTCCTCTTAGAACTGAGATCAAGGGGGTATTTATAGCCTCCCAAAACCTCAGCCAAAAACCCCAAACAAAAGACAAGAAAAACCCCAGCCAACAGTAAAAAATATAGCCGTTGGAAATGAAAAATCATCATTTTGCAAAAATAGTCCAAAACACGAAAATGTAAACATGTGAATTTTGACATTTAGGTTAAACCATGTTTTAAAACTTTGCACAATGATTATGTAGACTTAATAAAATATGTATATGATAATTGTTAAGTCCAAAAACTAATTTGACATTTAGGCTAAACCATGTTTTGAAACTTTGCACAATGATTATATAGACTTAATAAAATATGTATATGATTATTGTTAAGTGCATAAACTAATATTTTCACAAAATTGCATATTCTATGCAATATATACTAAAACACAATAATAAATATGAAACATGTGATTTCATATTTATAAACATGAAAACTCAAAAACACATGTATGTATATATATAACTATATATATGCATAGAAACCAAAACTTATGTATATATATATAACTATATATATATATACGAAGAAACTAATAAATGTGTGTATAGATAATTGAGCTTAGAGTACTTAACACACATAATATAAATCCTAAACTAGTTACCCAAGCTTGTGATCTTCCCAAGCTTGTGATCTTCAACGAAACTCTATCTTGGTAAACTCGCGGATGAAGCTTGAACTTGATCTTTAACTTTGAATTGCAAGGCTTCACCGACATTCCGCCAACCTCCTTTGGATATGATCGTTGAAGCTTTATTCCATCAATCCTCCAACGCGTTGTTTGTCTATAATAAATAGAAATATACCAACACTAGAAAAACAACATTAGTTGTAAATTGTTTGTTAAACATCATCAAAACAAGAAGGCCAACAGTTTCTAGGAAGATACAAGTGTATGGCTAGTATTTATTCTTCTAGAAACTTCTTAGTAATGTATGTCTAGGATTAACTCTTCTACACACTTCCTAGCCCTCTTAAACAACTATAAATAGGGGTCTTGTGCTCTCATTTAAGCAAGCAAGCAAGAAGTAAGCTTGAAAGCTTGAGTGTGTAGTGTAGGCTTGTGTGAGTGTTCACCAAAATAAAAAGGTGTGTGAAAGTGAGGTGCTCTTGTAAGAGCAAGTATTGTACTCCCTAGTGTTCTATTAATAAAAGTTTCCTTTGTGTAGAGGGTTGTGTTCTTCAAATTCCATCAAAGTGGTATCAGAGCAAGGTTCGATCTAGCCGGGCCAATCGAAGGTGCTCGTGTACGAGATGGCTAACATGATCCAAGCACAGATTTCGAAGCTGATGAAGACCAATTACGACAACTGGAGTATCCAGATGAAAGTCTTGCTCGGCTTGCAAGACTTGTGGGAGCTCGTGGAGAATGGCTACACTGAACCAGAGTCACCTGCAGCAGAAGCAACTCTCACCGCTACACAGAAGAGTGAGCTGAAGGAGATTAGAAAAAGAGACAAAAAGGCATTGTTCCTAATATTCTAAGGTGTAGATGAATCAGCGTTTGATAAGATTTCCAACACCCTTTCCTCTAAAGAAGCATGGGAGATTTTACAAAAATCCTATCAAGGTGCGGAAAGAGCCAAAAAGGTACGCCTCCAAGCATTAAGTGTTGAATTTGAAAATTTGAAGATGAAAGCTACAGAATCAATATCAGACTATTTTAGTAAAGTTCAGACAATAACTAATCAAATGAAGAGAAATGGAGAAGCAATTAATGATGTAAGAATTATGGAGAAATGAAGAGAAATGGAGAAGCAATTAATGATGTAAGAATTATGGAGAAGATACTTAGGACTTTAGACTCTAAATTCAAATATATTATTCCGGCAATACAAGAGTCTAAAGATCTTTCCGAAGTTTCTATTGATGAGCTGCAAGGTTCTCTGCAAGCTTATGAACAAGATATAAACATTAGTTCAAATCAAGCGGAGAATCTAGAACAAGCCTTGCAAAGTAAGATGACTATCAAAGAAGATAGTCGAAGAGGACGTGGAGGCTACAGAGGCAGACGCTCCTTTCGAGGTGGCTCAAACTTCCAACAAGGTCGAAGGAGACAGTACCAAGGAGGTCATGAAAATCAAGATCTAAATGGAAATCGTGAAAGATCGTTTGATCGAGGACGAGGTCGTGGCGCACGAGGACGAGGACAAGGAAGAAAATACCAAGAGGACAAATCTCAGCCACAGTGTTACAAGTGCAAGAGATACGGTCATCTCAGCTACGAATGTTGGGAGAAATCAAATCAAGTGGCAGAAAGAAGTAACTTTGTAGAAAGGGAGCAGCCAGACACTTCAATAGTCTTGCTGACGTACCAGGAGAGTGAAAGTAAGAATAAAGATATCTGGTATCTGGATTCAGGTGCTAGTAACCACATGTGCGGTATCAAGGAGTTTTTCACCGAGCTGAACGAGACGGTACAAGGAGATGTCACCTTTGGAGATCAGTCAAAGATTCCAGTGAAAGGCAAGAGCAAGATAATAATCCAGACAAAGACGGGCGAGAATAGGTACATCTCTGACGTCTATTATGTTCCAGCACTACAAAATAATATTTTGAGTCTAGGCTAGCTCCTTGAAAGAGGCTATGATATACATCTAAAAGACCTTGCCCTCACTATTAAAAATAAAAATAAAGTTATTGCAAAGGTGAACATGTCTAGAAATAGACTGTTTACCTTAAATATTCATACTGACCCTGTCAAGTGCTTAAAGATGATTATGAAGGATGAGTCTTGGCTCTGGAATTTGAGATTCGGGCATCTCGCATTCAGTGGCCTAAATCTTCTGTGGAAGGAGAAAATGGTGAAAGGATTGCCGTAAATCAATCATTTGAACCAGCTATGTGAAGGTTGTATGAAGGGCAAGCAACATAGAAGAAGTTTTGAAGTTGGAAAGTTAAGCTGCTATAATTGGTCCACACAAATATTGCAGGACCATTTGTAGTCATCTCTCTTGGAGAAAATAGGTACTTTCTCACATTTATTGATGATTATAGCAGAAAAACTTGGGTTTATTTCCTGAAGGAGAAATCCGAAGCTCTGGAGAAATTCAAAGAATTCAAGGAGATGGTAGAAAAGCAAAGTGGGTACCACATCAAGGTGCTCCGATCAGATCGAGACGGAGAATACACTTTGAATGCATTCAACAATTTCAACAAGTAGTACGGGATAATTCATCAACTCACTGCCGCCTACACACCACAACAGAATGGCATAGCAGAGCGGAAGAATCGTATCATTCTTGATATGGTCAGAAGCATGTTGAAGAGCAAGTACCTGCCAAAGACTTACTGGGCTGAAGCCGTGGACTGTGCAGTTTACCTCCTCAACCAATGTCCGACAAAGAGCGTAAAGTTCAAGACACCATTAGAGATGTGGAGCAACATCATACCAAGAGTCAACCACCTGAAGGTGTTTGGGTGCATTGCATATGCACACGTCCCAGAGCAGAAAAGAAAGAAGCTGGACGATCGAGGAGAAAAGTGCATATTCATTGGGTACGAGAGGAGGACAAAAGCATACAAGCTCTACAATCCAGTTACAAAGAAGATGATCATTTCAAGAGATGTGGAGTTCGATGAAGAAGATTATTGGAAATGGACCGATGAAGACAAAAACATTAAAGGTATGTTCTTCGAAGATAATGATGATGACTTGCAGGAGGTTGGAAGACCAGAACAAAGTCCACCAAATAGTCCAACTCCATCAACCTCAACATCGACGCCGACATCATCACCATCCAGCTCAAGTGAAGGAAGCTCTTCAGGGGGAGCAACAAGGAGGATGAGAAGCCTAAGAGATCTGTATGACGATACAGAGCCTGTCAAGATGATGGATGACTACACACTATTCTGCTTGTTTGCAGAATGTGATCCGGTCAGCTATGAAGAAGCTGCTCAAGAAGATAAGTGGAGAAAAGCCATGGATGACGAGATCGAGGCAATCAAGAGAAATGACACATGGGAGCTCACTACCTTACCTGAAGGTCATAAACCAATTGGAGTAAAGTGGGTGTACAAGACAAAGACAAATCAAGATGGAGGAATCGAGAAGTACAAGGCCAGGCTTGTTGCAAAAGGCTGTAGTCAGCGAGAAGGAGTTGACTATGAAGAAGTGTTCGCACCAGTCGCGAGGATCGACACCATTCGACTCATTATCGCATTGGCAGCACAGAACCAGTGGAAGATCTATCAGATGGATGTGAAGTAAGCCTTTCTTAATGGCTATCTAGAAGAAGAAGTCTACATCGAGCAACCACCTGGGTACATGATGAAGAATCAAGAAGATAAGGTCTACAAGCTGAAGAAGGCATTGTATGGACTGAAGCAAGCACCCACGGAGCCCGTATGAGCACTCTCTCTATACCAAGAAGAAGGATGAAGACATCATGATCGTATGTCTCTACGTGGACGACATGATCTTCACCGGCAACAATCCGAAAATGTTCGAGGAGTTCAAAAAGAATATGATCAAGGAGTTCGAGATGACTGACATTGGAGAAATGTCATACTTTCTTGGAGTAGAAGTGTCACAATCAGAGAAAGGAATCTTCATCTCTCAGAAGAAGTATGCAAAGGAGATCCTTCAAAAGTTCAACGTGAGCAACTGCAATCCAGTCACAACTCCTGCAGAAGTCGGAGTGAAGCTGACGCGAGAATCACCAGGAAGCTTTATTGATCCAACTCTATACAAGAGCTTAGTCGGGAGCTTGCGCTACCTAACCATTACTAGGCCCGACATAGTGTTTGCGGTAGGACTGGTGAGCAGATACATGGAGGAGCCAAGACAGGAGCATTTCAAAGCAGCCAAGAGAATTCTCAGGTATGTCCGAGGAAGTATTGATCAAGGATTATTTTATACACAGTGTGCAGATTCAAGATTAGTCGGCTACACCGACAGCGATTATGGTGGAGATTTAGATGAAAGAAAGAGCACATCTGACTACATATTCAATATCAGATCAGCAACATTCTCATGGTCATCAAAGAAGCAGTCTGTCGTCGCTCTATCAAGTTGCGAAGCAGAATACATAGCAGCATCGACATGTGCGTGTCAAGCAATATGGCTCAGGAGTCTGATGAAGGAATTGCAACACCAACAAGAAGCACCGACAGAGATTCTCATCGACAACAAGTCAGCTATTGCACTTGCCAAAAATCCGGTAGCACATGGACGAAGCAAACACATAAAGACAAGATATCATTTCATCCGACATCAAGTTAAAAAGAAGACTATGATGCTGACATATTGCAAGTCTGAAGACCAAATTGCTGACATCTTCACCAAGCCACTAAAGACAGAGACATTTTTGAAGCTTAAGAAGAAGCTTGGACTTGTGAGAAATGAAAGTTGGTGATGAGGGGGAGTATTAGAATTCCTCACCAACTTAGATTATTCTAGAACAACTTTCTAGAACTTCTTTCTAGTAACATCCTACAAAATATCTACCATGAAGTTTCTAGGAAGATACAAGTGTATGGCTAGTATTTATTCTTCTAGAAACTTCTTAGTAATGTATGGGTAGGATATATTAACTCTTCTACACACTTCCTAGCCATCTTAAACAACTATAAATAGGGGTCTTGTGCTCTCATTTAAGCAAGCAAGTAAGAAGTAAGCTTGAAACCTTGAGTGTGTAGTGTAGGCTTGTGTGAGTGTTCACCAAAATAAAAAGTTGTGTGAAAGTGAGGTGCTCTTGTAAGAGCAAGTATTGTACTCCCTAGTGTTCTATTAATAAAAGTTTCCTTTGTGTAGAGGGTTGTGTTCTTCAAATTCCATCAAAACCAAGCTCCTCCACACCTCCTTCGCTCTCCCAACTAGGGCACGAATACTAAACTGTAAATAGCTTCTATTCGGGTGGGCCAGCTAATTGTCCGCTGGACAAAACTTCTCAAACCCTTATCACTTCACGTGGTGGAAAGCTAATTACGCCCAAAGAACAAATCCCAATCAATCCGCTGGACATTTGCCTATCTCCCTAGCCATTATCCATTCACGTGTTCACAATACGTGGCGAAGTGTCTCACCACTCATGTCCGCATGGTCGTTGTCCTCGTCAAATAACACGTTTTTCTTCAAAATATTTGTCTGTGTAACGGACAATCCATGTTGATACATGCAAAGAAGTACCGCAGGCAAAGAGAGCCGCACAAAAGCTAGATAGGATAAAGTGGCTATTGAGAGTTCCGAGAGCTCAAATTCTTCAGAACAAAAACAATGGCTACATCTCCCCCCTTGATCCTTCAAGTCTCCAAGTGCTTAGTCAAACCCTCATCATGCTCAAACCCGGCTGTCAATCTCTGCCACCTCACGCCTTGGGATGTTGCCATGCTTCTTACAGAACTAGGCATCACCATCCCGCTTCAACCTGTGATTTATTGTGACAATGTTGGTGTCGCTCAACTCTATGCCAACTCAGTATTCCACTCTTGAATGAAACATGTCGCTATTGACTATCATTTCATCAGGCAACATGTTCAACATGGTATCCTCCGTGTCTTTCATGTCCGCTCCAAAGATCAACTTGCCGATATGCTTACAAAGCCCCTTCAGGGCCGTCTCAAGTATTTTTGAGGCTCTATGCAGAAAAAAATATTTAGGACCTTAATAGTTTTTTAAAAATTAAATATTAGTTTTTAAAAAATATATTTTATATAAAGTTTAATTTTCTTGCTTTTTGAGATGCAAAGTTACTAATTAAATTTTTATATTCAAGCTTTGATAATAAATCCTTTTCAATTGATAAAATTGCCAAATCATTTAATCTTTCTTGAGACATTGCCAAATTATATTAGTTTTTCTTTTTTTTTACCGTTACAATCTAATTAATTATAGAAATAAAATATAAAAATTACAATTAAACTTTATTAGTATTCTTTTCCAAATATTAAGATAATTATGGATAATTATAGCAATAAATGATCAATTAAAGATAATTTAGAATCCTAACAATAATCAACTTCTTATATTTCCAAAATAAATTAATAATTATATTATATTATATTATATATATATATATAGAAATATGGAGAACCTTGGTACCAAGTTTCTCCATTGAACTTGGTAGTGAGGTGGCCAAATCAAGACCTTACATCATGCCTCGGAGAGAGAGCCTCAAATATATATATAGAATATATTTTTGGGGGGCCCAATAAAATGGGGGCCCTAGGCATATGCCTTAGTAGCCTATGCCTTCAGCCGGCCCTGAGGCCCTTCCATCCACGCAATTTACAAACCTATGCACCAAGATTGGACTATATCTTCCAAACACTCCATCTTGCGGGGGCATGACAGAATATAATTTCCTACCTCATTGTTTATTCTATTACCATCTATAGTTGTTACCATGTATAATATAATTTCCTACCATCATTGTTTATTCTATTACCATCTATAGTTGTTACCTTGTATAACGGTTTCCTACTTACCATGCTTGTAATTACAACCTAATAGAATAAACAACAAATAGTTGTATTTTTTTTTTTTGAGCCTGAATAAAGAAGAAATTAAGGTGGAAAATGATAGATTGTTTTTGAAGTTATTGGTAGAGTTGGATGCTTTTGTTCCGTTCTAAGTTGGCAGAAATTTGTACTCTCTCTCTAATGAAGTTATTGGTAGAGTTGGATGCTTTTGTTCCGTTCTAAGTTGGCAGAAATTTGTACTCTCTCTCTAATGGCTGATCACCAGTGAATTTGAGGGATAGTTCCGTTCTAAGTTGGCAGAAATTTGTACTCTCTCTCTAATGGCTGATCACCAGTGAATTTGAGGGATACGTTACGCTGTTTACTTTGGTTCACAGATAAAGTAGTCTTTCAAAGAAGAAGAACGCCTTTTCTATGCACATTATCACGTGGGGTCAAAATCTTTCATGGAGGTTGCAAAGAAGACACGTAATTATAGATGATTTAAGCCATAACTTAGAAAATCCAATTTGTATATAACACAAAGGGAGAAATGACAAATAATACGAAGAATGTTGATATAACTTAGAAAATCCAATTTGTATATAACACAAAGGGAGAAATGACAAATAATACGAAGAATGTTGATACAAAAAAGTATGTGGCGAAGTGTCTCACCGACTCATGTCCGCATATGGTCGTTGTCCTCGTCAAATAACACGTTTGTAACGGACAATCCATGTTGATATATACATGCAAAGAAGTACCGCAGACAAAGAAAGCCGCACAAAAGCTAGATAGGATAAAGTGGCCATTGAGAGTTCCGAGAGCTCAAGTTCTTCAGAACAAAAACAATGGTTACATCTCCAGTACCCGTGATCCTTCAAGTCTCCAAGTGCTTCGTCAAACCCTCATCATGCTCAAACCCGGCTGTCAATCTCTGCCACCTCACGCCTTGGGATGTCGCCATGCTCTCTACCCACTACATTCAAAAGGGCCTCCTGTTCCCAAACCGGCCCTCTACACTCTCCATCGAGAGTATCATCGATCGCCTTAAGTCCTCTCTGTCCGTCGCCCTCTGCTACTTCTATCCCCTTGCTGGGCGTCTCAAAACCGAAAGAGTTTTGGACGATAATAATAAAGTCCGCAGCCTGCGAGTCTTAATTGATTGCAAAAGCCAAGGTGCGGAGTTTATCCATGCTGTAGCCCGTGATGTTACGGTGGTAGACGTTCTTGCACCATTGGAAGATGTTCCGTCGTTCGTTCGCTCTTTGTTTCCTTTTAATGGAGCCATCAGCCATGATGGCCACTCCCTTCCTCTTCTTGCCATTCAGCTGACTGAACTATCCGATGGGCTTTTTGTTGCTTGTTGTTTCAATCATGTCGTGGGGGATGGTATTTCTTATTGGCACTTTCTCAACGCGTGGGCCGAGATTGCTCGAGCAAAAGAATGCGGTTTCACCATCTCTAGGCCTCCTGTTCACGACCGCTGGTTCGTTGAGGGCGAAAGCCCTCCTATAAACCTACCATACTCCGACCCAGAGGAATACATCGAGAGGCACAGCCCACCTCCTCTAAGAGAGAAGTTTTTTCATTTCCCTTCACTGTCCATTGCTCAGTTAAAAGCGAAAGCCAACATGGAGTGCGACACAGACACAATCTCCTCTTTCCAAGCGTTATGCTCGCTTGTGTGGCGATCCATCACCCGTGCACGTGGTCTACTTGCCAACCAGAAGACTAGTTGTCGACTGGCAATTCAAGGCCGTGCACGACTGCGACCGCCTTTATCCCCCAATTACTTTGGGAACTCGATATATGCGGTGGCTGCAACTACAACAGCAGGAGAACTGATGGCCCATGGACTCGGGTGGGCAGCTTTGTTGGTGCATCAAAGTGTGAAATCACACACTGATAATACAATTAGGGAATTAGTTAAGAAGTACCACGAGGAACCTTTTGTGTATCCCTTGAGTGGATTTGATAAGTACAGTGTGATGATGGGGAGTTCACCGAGGTTCGACATGTACGAGTGTGATTTTGGATGGGGGAGGGCGGCAGCGGTTAGAAGCGGGACGTCAAATAAGTTTGACGGTAAGGTGTCATCGTATCCTGGGTGGGAGGGTGGAGGGAGTGTGGATCTTGAAATCTGTTTGTTGCCAGAACATATGGCTTTGCTTGAGGCGGATGAGGAGTTCATGGCTGCTGTTTCTCCTTAAATAATCCAGAGCGTAAGAAAGAGTTTTAGTTATGTAACTTTGTCATGGAGTTAATTTGTACATGATATATGATTCATGTTAATTGAGATGTTGGAGTTAAATGTGTAAACATCACAAGGAAGAATTGGCATCCGTTTAATGCACTTGTTTCTCTCAAAGGTAAGCGAAAGGATGCAAAATTATGGCGAGTAGAAAAATAATTAAGAAGTTTGAAGCGCATCGGTTTGCAGGTAAAGCAAAATAGGTGAAAACATCCAGTAGTACGTCCCTGCAGCACCAGATCAATTGTGCTCTGAGGAAATAATAACACTTGATTTGTCATGCTAAGTAAAAGTAAGTCTGTTCTTGGTGTGATAGCGATCTAGCGGACGAGTATTCACCACAAGAAAAATCAGGCATCAGCGAAGGAATATTTGCGATGGACAAAAGTACGTCGCAGGTGCTTGCTATCTGCGATGGAGATTGCTACAGAAAAGAATACGGGCTCTGTTGCCCCAAAAAACAAAATGCCATTTTACGTCGGACTTTCCGTGGCTATTATCTGGCTAGCAGTATATTTTAATGCTGTAGCTAATGAAAAGCAGCCATCGCAGATGTGATTTGGCCTATCCCACTTCATTACACTTGCAGCCGCTTTAAGCTCCCACTTTGACCCGACCCGCTTCGTTGCATTCCTCAAAAATCCCGTCTCTCTCTCTCTCTCAATTTTTTTTTTTTTTAGAGATTCCCGTCCCTCTCTATCATCTCTATCATCGGTGATGAGAGTCCTCTGCCATGATCGGTGATCTCTGTAATGACAGCGCCCTTCACATCATCGATGACGGGAATCTCTCCCTCTGCAAACCCCAAGTCCTCAATCCATTCACACCATCCACGACGAACTCTCCCTTGCAAACCCTAAGTCCTCGATCCGTTCCACACCATTGACGGCGAGATTTCCCTCTGGAAACCCCAAGTCCTCAATGTTGGGACAAACCCGGGGCCTAATAGAGCAGGGTCGCAGCAATAGTAGAGCAAAAGTAGAGATAAAATGTTGGACACACAAATTTACGTGGTTCGGCACTTGATTGCCTACGTCCACGGGCAAGGATAGAAGAATTCACTATGAGGAGAAAACTCTGGAGTTACAATCTCTCTTTCTAAGGAGATACTCTCTCTATTTTTTTCTCTCACACTCTTCTATGTAAGAAGTTGTTTCTGGGATAAGATTTCCTTAAGGATTTGGAGCCCTATTTATAGTTTTTTGAAAAACACTATGCACAATAAAATATTAATATTTTACTGTAGTAGTGGGCCCGCTCTTTTGTTTTCTTTCAAAAAATTAACAAAGGCTGCATTGGATGAAAAAACGTGGGCGGCTGCTTCTTTCGGTGTTGTGTCATTGTTAGGCGCTTGACAATCTCCCACTTGAAGATTTGATTGAGTATCAATCAATCTTCACACCATTCTTTCTATCTTGCCATCTTTATGTTGCTTACGTCTCAAACAGATCACAGGAGGATCGACACCAAATGAATTTGTCAGTATTGACTGCTTTTATCAAAAAATCTGCTAGGTTGTCTTTGGTGTGAATTTTCTGCATATACACTATTCCTTCTTCCACTTTCTCACGAACGAAGTGATACTGAACTAGAATGTGCTTGTTCTTTGAATGAAAGGTTGGATTTCTTGCCAAATGCAAAGCACTCTGACTATCACAAAATAGAGAAATCTTCTTTTGTTCATAGTCGAGTTCCTCCAGCACCATCTTCAACCACATCGATTCTTTACTGGCTTGTGTAGCTGCTACATACTCTGCTTCTGTTGTTGAAGTAGCCACAACTGACTGCAGTTTTGAAACCCAGCTTACAGCTCCGCCAGCAAGTGCAAACACATAACCTGTGGTGGATTTGCTATTATCACGATCACCTGCATAATCAGAATCAACATATCCACTGACAATAAAATCAGATCCCCCATAACATAATGCAACATTTGAGGTTCCTTGAATGTATCTTAGAACCCTCTTTACAGCATTCCAATGCTCTTTACCAGGATTCGCCATGTATCGACTAACCACTCCCACTGCTTGTGCAATGTCTGGTCTTGTACAAATCATCGCGAACATTAAGCTTCCCACTGCTGATGCATACGGTACTCGAGACATCTCCATCCTCTCTTCTTCACTGCTAGGACACATTGTGGAGGATAACTTGAAATTAACAGGAAGTGGGGTAGAAATTGACTTACAATCTTGTATGTTAAAGCGTCGCAAGATTTTCTTCAAATAGTTCTTCTGAGAAAGCCAAATCTTCCTATTAATTCTGTCTCTGTAAATTTGCATCCATAGAATCTTGTTTGCATATCCTAAATCCTTCATTTCAAATTCCCTAGCCAACTGAGCCTTTAATTCTTTGATATGATCTTTGTTGGGGCCTGCAACCAACATGTCATCAACATACAACAATAAGATAACAAAGTTATTTTTACCAAACCTCTTGAAATATGCACAAGAGTCTGAATTAAGTCTGTTGTATCCAAGGCTTATGATGAATGAATCAAATCTCTCTTTGTTCTCTTTTCCTTTTTCTTCAAAACCTTCTGGTTGGAGCATGTAAATTTCTTCTTCAAGATTTCCATGAAGAAATGCTGTTTTCACATCTAGCTGCTCTAGATGTAAGTCAAATATAGCGCTCATGGCCAGGACTATTCGGACTGTTGTTAGTCGAACTACAGGAGAAAATATTTTATTAAAATCAATACCTTCTTTCTGAGCATATCCTTTTATCACCAATCTAGCACGATACCGCTCCACTTGATCATCGCCATTTCGCTTGATCTTGTAGACCCATTTGTTTCCATTGGTCTTTCTTCCTTGTGGCAGTGACACAAGTTCCCAAGTATTGTTCTTATGGAGAGCTTCAATTTCTTCCTACATTGCTGCCATCCACAAAGATGCATCTGTGCCATTTATAGCTTAATGAAAAGTTGATGGCTCTCCATCTTCTATTAGAAGACAATATGCAATATTACTCTCCGTAATATACTCCGAGTGCCAAGTCGGTGGTCTTCTCTCACGAGTTGACCTTCGAACTTCTAGAGCCTCGGACTCGACTGGTTCTTGTACATCATGCTCCGGTGTTGCTTCAGAAGAATTCGGATTATCTTCTACCTGAACAGCTACAGTCTCTGAGTCCTTCCTCGAACTGCTTTCTTTCTCTTTACTTTGTAGTTGGTTCTCTACAAAGATAACATCTCTGCTGATGATAACCTTGCGGGCAGTGGGATCCCATAGGCGATACCCCTTTACTCCATCAGCATACCCCAAGAATATGTATTTTCTGGATTTTGAATCCAGCTTTGTAATTTCTTGGGCATTGTACATTACGTACACTGGACATCCAAATATATGGAGGTTGGAATAATCAGCTGGCTTGTCAGTCCACATCTCCATTGGCATCTTCAATTGTATTGCAGTTGATGGAGATCGATTCACCACATAACAAGCGGTTATTACTACTTCCGCCCAAAAGACTTTTTCCAGATTTACAGTTGCCAACATAGCTCTTGTTCTTTCCAACAGAGTTCTGTTCATCCGCTCCGCCACTCCATTTTGTTGAGGAGTATAAGCAGTACTGAATTGTCTTTTGATGCCTTCATGCTTGCAGAATGTTAGGAATTCACCGTCTGTGTATTCTCCTCCATTATCTTACCTTAAGCACTTGATCTTCTTCTCAGATTCAAGCTCGACCCGCGCTTTGTAGGCTTTAAAGACTGAGAACACATCCGCCTTCTTCTTGATAGGATACTCCCAACATCTCCTGGAGTAATCATCAATAAAGGACACAAAGTACTTTGCTCCTCCTAAGGATGTAACTGGTGCTTGCCATACATCAGAATGAACCAGTTCCAGAATAGTCTTGCTTCTAGAACTCGATGTGTTGAACTTTAGCCGATGCTGCTTACTTGTAACACAATGCTCGCAGAATGGAAGAGCTACCGAATTAAGTCCAGGAAGCAGCTTCTGATCGGAGAGAACCTTTAAGCCTTGTTCTGACATGTGGCCTAGTTTGTGATGCCACATCATGGTTTGTTCTTCTCCACGGCTGGTTGATGCCATACATGAATCAGCTTCCTGCATGGTTTCTCCCTTGAGCATGTACAGATTTGCAGCTATCTTTTCTCCTTTTATCACCATAAGCGCCCCTTTAACAATCTTCATGATCCCATTTTCGATATGGGTCTTGCACCCGAGCTCATCTAATTGTCCCAAAGACAATAGATTCTTCTTCAAGCCCTTCACATGTCGCACATCTTGAATGGTACATATTGTACCATCAAACATTTTAATTTTAATAGTGTTAATACCAGAAATCTCCAAGGCATGATCATTCCCCATGAATACAGATCCTCCTGAGATAGGTTCATATTTGTGAAACCATTCTCTCCGAGAGGTCATGTGCCAAGAGGCTGCTGAATCCAGAAACCAGACATCAGCAAACTTCTTTCTGCCTTCATCAACAGTGGTTGCTCCACTAAATAGAATTTCACCATTGTCTGACGTACTGACAACACATCCTTGAGATGTTGATGGCTCTGAAGCCTTTTGATCTCCACTCTTCTTGTTGTGCCAACACTCCGATTTGACGTGCCCTCTTTTGCCACAATTGTAGCATTTGATATTCTTCTTACTTCGTGATTTTGATCTACCATGGGCATGACTCCCACTGGAGCCACGTTCTGTTGATCTTCCTCTCGTCACCGACAAGGCCTCCGCTTGCTGTGAACTTGACTGCCTGTCTTTCTTGTTCTTGCGCCGATTTTCTTCCTCCAGAACAGCGGCTGCAACATCGTCGAAAACTAGACAGTCCATGAGGATGTTGTTTGTCAAGTTGATGATGAGTTGATCATACGAGTCAGGTAGACTCTGAAGTAGAAGTTCTGCACGTTCATTCGCACCAACTGTATACCCCAACGTTGTGAGTTGGGAGAACAGTGTGTTTAGGGTGTTGATGTGGTTGGTCATCGATGTAGATTCCGCCATCCTCAGAGTGTAAAGTCTCCTTTTTAAGAAGATTTTATTGTACATGGATTTCGCCTCATATAGCTTTGTTAGAGTATCGCAGATCTCTTTTGCTGTCTTC